GGCCAACGGTGCCGATCCTCGCTTCCCCCGTGTTCGTGGCGATCTCGCCACACCCCGCTTCGCCCTTCGTGGCCTTCCTCTGTTCCTGGTTCCCCGTCACTCCCTTGCTCTTCCGGTTCCCCTCCTTCTATACTCAACCCCTCTGCCCCCCACGTGACCTAACTCCTCCCCCCCTGACGGCACCTCAGAAGGGCCGTTTACAACCGCATTACAGTAAAATCACGTAGTTAGTTTCTAACTGTGTGACTTTACCGAAAGAACCAAAGAGTATGGATTCCTGCAGTCACGAAAGCTTCAAATCAAGACTTCTACAGTACTTCAAACATTAAAACTGAAACTCCTGAACCTCTACTATGTACTATCATTAATTCAAATATTAAAACTCTGAAAAGCCTCAACCTCTACTGTGTACTGTACTTATTTCAAAAATGACAATTCTCAAACACCTGAACCCCCTTGAGATTTGGGGAGAGGTGCTGGGGGCGGTCTTCATGGTTACAGGGCGGGCAGCACTACCGATTTGTGTTGGATGATTTAATTTTGTGCTTATTTGATAGATTTCGCCATTTGCCTCCACCTGTGGAGCTATCCACTTTATTTTCTGTGTTGTTTGTGTGAAAGTGCAAAGCTCCCTTGAAGATCATAATCACTATCCATGGGCAGATAGCCCGTAGGTGTCAACTGCACATTTCGTCATTTGTTTCCCCTTTCTTACGTCTTGTGCTAATATCCTCAAGTAGTGCCAGATCTTTCAGGCACCAACCTCTTCATGATGTCGTCGTCAAGTCATTCTCTGTCAGGTCTTCCTCTCTTTCCTGTTCCTTCCATTTTTCCGAACAACAGATGTTATATTTTCCTGCTGTTGTCCATCCCACATAATGTACAAATGGTGCCAGTTTCCTTATCATTGCTGCCTGCAATAGGTCTTCTTCTGTGCAACCTTGTTTCTTGCGTCTACGTTGTTCAGTCTTTGAGTCCAGCTTAGATGCAATATCATTCTGTAGCAATACAGTTCGAGTGTCAATACCTTATCTTTGTCAGTCTTTTTCAATCTTCAAGTCTCGCAGGAATACAAAGCTGTCCTGAAAACGCATGTTCTTTTTACATACATAGTAGGGGTTTCCAAAAAGATTTCCAAAATCTTAAACAAACACAAGATCCAAGTTCGTTTCAACACAGTACACAACATCCGTGATTTGATCCAAACTGTAAAGGATGTGATTCCTGATATGCAATACCCGGGTGTCTACAAACTAAGTTGTGGCTGCGGCAGCAGTTACATTGGGGAAACGAAACGACATGTTTCGGACCGTGTTCGCGAACACAAAGCAGATCTGATACATGGTAGGACCAATACCTCTGCTGTTGCTGATCATTGTTTTAACGCAGTGGGCTCACACGAAATTGACTTTTCTAAGACGAAAGTACTCTGCAAACCCACTGGCTATTATCAGAGATTTGCTCATGAAGCCATCCAGATATATAAACACAGACACAACTTCAACCGAGAAGATGGGTACAAACTGAGCAATCATTGGAAGGACGTTATTAACCAGGTAAAGTCTTAACTGACAGTGATGTTTACATCCTACCTGCTTGTGTCAGCTGTTATTTCCGACTCTCTGTGTGTCTTTTGCTCTCTCTCTCTCTGTGCATTTCTCTCCGATCTCTACTCCAGTGACCCGGGTGCTGCCGCGGGGTCCACTTTCTGCCCCGCCTCCTTCCCCCCCACCCCCACTTCTCTCTCCACCCCCCCTACTGCCGAGGCCTACTATATAACCTCGTGGCACGGCAGGTCTCTCGCCTACTTCACTATACACTACACTACTATAAACTACACTACTATACACTACACTATACACTACACTATAAACTACACTATACACCACTACTATACACTACACTATAAACTACACTATACACTACACTATACACTACACTACACACTACACTACACTATACACTCCACTATACACTACACTATACACTACCCCCCTACTGCTGAGGCCTATATAACCTCGTGCCACGGCAGATCTCTCGCCTACTTCAGCAGTTTTTTCTTGCTGTGGGTGTCCCACCTGATGACGATTGCTTGTGTTGCGATCGAAACGTCGTGATCTTTTATTTTTATACCTACGTGACTTTACCGAAATATCCAAAGAGTATAGTACATATAGCTTGAATATGTTGGGTACATATTGAGTCATGCATATGATTTCGATCGTTCAGCTGATGCATATATTAACCTATTTCGATGACGTATGCGTATGTCATTGGTTTTTCACGAGATTCCATTCTGATGACATTACGTGTACAAAGCACATCTCTCAAGCTCGTCGAGGAAAGCATCAGTCAGGTGGTGATTAGCTGGCTTCACCAACGATTACCAAATCTATAATATAGTTTTTCTTTGGGTTAGTTTGCGTAAATATATAATGTGTCAATAAACTTGACACTACCCGACACAGCCAATTTGTAAGGTTTGTCACGTAAATAGAACATGCTAATTCGTTAATAGTACAGCACACCGGTGTGTTGAAAAGCCAAGCCACAACATTTACAATCTGAGTACGACGTTTCACCAGTAATTTCAACTAGTTTCATCATTTATATATTTACGTGTTCTAACCCCCCCAAAATGTGTTATGGATGATAATGGTCATGAAAGCCTACGTGTTAAACTTATTACCAAATCTCTGTGCTCCTCTATATATATTAAGATGTCTTTAAATTTCGATGTAAAGCTTTGGTGACTGCAGGGATTCATCTTCTTGGTTCTTTCGGTAAAGTCAAATAGAATGGAAATAATAAAATAATAAAAATACAACATAATAACATTTCGATTTAAAGCTTTCGTGACTGCAGGGATTCATCTTCTTGGTTCTTTCGGTAAAGTCACGTAGAATGAAAATATTAAAATAATAATAAAACATTTTAAAATAAAATAACATAATAAAATAATAATATAAAATAATATAATAAAGTATTATTTTATTATTTTTATAATTTTATTATTTCCATTCTACGTGACTTTACCGAAAGAACCAAGAAGAAGATGCCTTTAGTCAATGAATGTTTGTGTGTGTGAATGTGGGAATAAATTGGAGGACCCGGAGTAAACCTGCGCCTGAAACGGCGCTACACTCTTTGCCATACAGAAGGGACAGACGAGTTTAGTCCACACTTTGCTGTACGGAGTTCTCCTGGCAGAGGCAACCTGGGAACGGCACCTACTCGGCTCCCTCGGGAAGTGGGCTTCACAACATTCGAGGGGTCCCACCAACACTCGCCTCCACAGTGCAGGATTACAGGCCACGTGCATAGCCACTACTGATATCACGATGTTAAACTGCCACCGCCCAGCCACAAAGAGACGAGGAAACTCACCCACCACATGAGCCCACACATCCCAGTACAGTAAACTGATGTTCAGATTTAATGTTTTTATTCATCACCACACACACATGGACCATTGACCCACAATAAAATGTGATTCCAATTCACAGGTAACCCAGAACACAATCAACTATATGTATATTTACGCGATCTAACCCAAGAAACCTTTATTATTTATAATATTGGTCGCGAAAGCCTATGTGTTTAAGTCAATTTGTTTAACCAGGTGAGAACTCAAGAGACCAGGATGAGTCTCGGCTGCAAGAGTGATTGCTGCTGCATTCGCTGCTTCTGCTGATGGTGATGATTCTGTTGCTGCTGAAAATGCTTACATAATTTTTTTATGCTGTTGGTACTACTCCTGATGCTTACGATGATGATGCTAATGATGGAGCTACTGCTGCTGATGCTGTAGGTCCTGCTGCTGTTACTAATTCTGCTGCAGATGACACTTCTGCTGATGCTGATGATGATCGAGTCGAGTTGAATTTGAGTTCAACGAGGTGAGAACTCAGGAGATCAGGATGAGTCTCATTGACAAGAGTGACCTGGGTCACAAAAATGAAAAAAGCAAAACAAGTCAAACCGATGCTAGCAATGAAGCAAATAGAAAGCTCACGCACAGCCCAGAGCACAATGAGATTAGCATTCACACAAGTAATCAACTGGTACGATATAACCAATGCGTCCAAAATCATCTACGCATTGCTAAACAGCCTGAGACTCGAGGTTGGGTTCACACCAGATTGGTGTCTCACGTTAGGGAGGGGCGCCGTAGTGACTAGGAGCTGTTAACTCCCTCGACTGGTATGCAGGAGGTCGTGAGTTGGATTCCGACCGTGACGGCTGCTGTATATTTGGAGTTTGCGGTGTCTCTATCCCTGTAATAACACACAGTGGCTGCGTATTATTAACGCGTGTTGAGACAATATTAGTCGTGTTGTAGTGGAAGGTAGATCTTCACTCTAGATATATATCAGGCGCTTAATTACTTGAACCCACTTCAAAGTCAAAGGACAGTTCCCATTTGTGTCAGCAGAGGGAGGCATTATCCAATGAATCGAAGGTTGTGGCTGCAGGTCCAAGTCTAAGTCTGAGAGCAGATAATTACAATTTTAATAAAAACAAACTTTTATTACGAATAATATTGTTGGTGAAAGATCCCCTCCTTCTACTAATAGGTGTGGCTTCTCTCTCTCTCTATGCCCTGTAAAATAAAACTGCTTTGGGTGGGGGGGAGGATTCATTCGACCCCTGGTTATAACAAACATATTTAGCACAGCTCAAACACCACGAGAAGTCCCCCCCCCTAGTGATGCCATCCCATTCCCACCCCGGGTTTATCGCCCAATGAGCGAGTGACCGCGAGGGGGATGGCGCGCGTCACCCCGCAGCGTCACTTGACACGTGTTCCCAGCACGCCCGCGGTAGAGCTCCGCCCTCTCGGCGTTGAGCGCCACGCGGCGCGCGGTGCGAAGGACGATGACGTCAGAGAGAAGCTTGGATCCCCCGCCCTGCCCCACCAGTGCGCTAACCACTGCACCACCGCTCCACCCCACACTACGCACATGGCTCTCTATACACTAAAGACAAAGATCCCCCATATAGCCTTAAAATACTGTTGGGGCAAGTGCTGTTAACCACCACCTATGAAGGCCGCCACAGCACAAGAGAGAGAGGGTTAGTGGCCAGCACCACGCCTGACCCGCCTTTGTCTCCCCAGTGGCGATGTTTACACACCGCAGCAGGTTCTCATTTGAGGCTGAGCCGACCTAGGCGAGACCCAAGACCGATTCAAATAATCGCTATCAATGGTGTTTGTAAACCGGTCATGGGCATCCCCTAGGTCGACTCAGCCTCACATGATTCACTGGTGCGGTGTGTAAACGTCAACACTGGGAAGACAAAGGCGGCCGGGCATGGTGTTGGCCCCCCACCCTCCTGTGTGCCGTGCTGGCCTTCATAGGTGCTCTGTACCAGCCCTTCCCCCTACAGCATGTTAAGGCTACACGGGGGATCTGTGTCTTTGAGTGCACGAGTCTGAGCGTTGTGCCCGTTTCTCTGCGCTGCTCACACTCCGTGCTCTCAGGACGCACGACTCAGATCCAGAATCCTCACTGAGTCACCAACAACACCACCCACATACAGTGCGGGGTAGAGCGGTTGACTAAACGAGTGGTGGACGGAGTGCAGCAGCTCCATGGAGTCGGCGCGGTAGAACGACAGCAGCCCCGCCTCCCAGTGCAGGTGACACCCGACTCTCCGGGGAGGATCCCTCACCGGCACTGAGGTCAATACATCACCATGAATCACGTAGCAGCTGTTGTTATTTTTATATAAAACCCAGGATGAGTCGTTGTGTCCCAGCCCGCACTCTTTACCACTCCCTTTCCGTGCGATCGTCCCGTACGCGACTCCAACCGCACAGCTCCCCGCTGCACCCCCCACGTCCACCTCCCAGTAGTGCTGACCAGACGAAAAGCTCTCGGAGTATAGGGCTTGTGTATAGCCATCAAAGCGGTGTGGGTGATCGGGGCGACCCTGGGAGACAGCGGTCCGTGTCACCGTCCTGAGGTCCGAGGAAATCTGGAGGTCGTTTTGGGCCGAGTTTGGGTCCACAGTCGGCGAGCGTCCGTCTGCAGTAACGATAATCACAGTAGCCGTGTAACAACAGCACCACTATAACAACAGCACTCGTGCACTAACACGGACGTACACTACAATAGAGCAATTCATAATGAGCATTGTTCTACAACGTTATAATGCGTAGCTATCAGTGTGATGACATGTAACGGGCACTTTGTCAATCCGCTGCTGGATAAGGACTCCCTACACCGTGCGGGTCGCAGGGGATATTTGACCATACTTCACCACGCCGGTCACCGCGCGTTGGCGAAGGCAGGCGGCGCAGCTGGCGAGAGTACAGAAGTACAGTACAGCGGTGCGTTTGTCTGCCCTGCCACCTGCTGCCCCGCCACGTAGCCCCGCAGCCTGTAGCACCTGCTAGGCAGGGTCATGACTTTCCCACCATGTGGCCCCGCAGACTGTAGCACCTGCTAGGCAGGGTGTTGACCCCACCACAAGGCCACACAGCCTGTAGCACCTGCTAGGCAGGGTGGTGGTGGCCGCCCGTGCCAGCCCTTACCCAGGCCCAGCCCCTGCGGGGCTTTGCGAGGTGCCAGGAGGTGTGTGATAGTGAAGTGATGTACACTCGTGTGGGTGTGTGTGTGATAGTGTAGTGATGTACACTCGTGTGGGTGTGATAGTGTAGTGATGTACACTCGTGTGTGTGTGTGTGATAGTGTAGTGATGTACACTCGTGTGTGATAGTGTAGTGATGTACACTCGTGTGTGTGTGTGTGATAGTGCAGTGATGTACACTCGTGTGTGTGTGTGATAGTGTAGTGATGTACACTGTGTGTGTGTGAGATAGTGTAGTAATGTACACTGTGTGTGTGTGATACTGTAGTGATGTACACTCGTGTGTATGTGATAGTGTAGTGATGTACACTCGTGTGTGTGTGTGATAGTGTAGTGATGTACACTCGTGTGTATGATAGTGTAGTGATGTACACTCGTGTGTGTGTGTGATAGCGTAGTGATGTACACTCGTGTGTGTGTGTGTGTGTGTGATAGCGTAGTGATGTACACTCGTGTGTGTGTGTGATAGTGTAGTGATGTACACTGTGTGTGTGTGTGAGATAGTGTAGTGATGTACACTCGTGTGTGTGTGATAGTGTAGTGATGTACACTGTGACAGCAGGTCATGCCTTCTATGACCTCCTGTCACAGGTGCTGGCTAAAGTGGCCACTCGGGACAGAGTCATCTTGATGGGTGACTTCAATGCCCGAGTTGGTCATGATGCTGGCACCTGGTCTGGAGTGATTGGAAGACATGGGCCAGATCAGCTCAATAACAACGGTAGGAGGCTGCTAGATTTTTGTGCAGCCCATGGACTTGTAATTACCAACACGCTCTTCCGGCATCGGCGCATCCACACAACATCATGGATGCATGCCGGGTCCAAGCAAGAACATCTGCTGGACTACATAGTGACGGACCAGCGGATGCGAGCCCATGTCCTTGACACCAGGACCTACCGCGGAGCTGATCTGCCCTCTGATCATCGACTAGTCATCTGTAAGATGCGGCTGCCATTCTTCCACTCCGGTGGTGGATGTACACCCAGGACCCCATTCCAACCTAAAGTAGCCTGGTCTCAGTTAGCTGATGAAAGTTGCAAGCGAGAATTTCATCATAGCTTGCAGCTGGGGTTGGCATCGTCCCCCACTCCTCCTGATGTCGAGGGTAAATGGGCGAGGTTTAGGACTGTGACTCATGCAACGGCAATGGCTGCTTTGGGTACGCTGTCCAGACCTCCCCAGAAACCCTGGCTGACAGAGGAGGTGTTCAGGTTAGTTGAGAAAAAGCGACAGGCCCACTCTCATCGGCTACAGCATCCCACGTCAGAGAATGAGGAGGTTTACCGCAGCCTTCACTCGGAGGTTCGGAGAGCCGTAAGGCGCTGCAAGGATGGGTGGTGGTCGCGGGTTGCTGAGGAGATGGAGTCTGCCTCAGTGGCCCGCGATCACAAATCACTATTTAATTCCATCAAAAAAGTAACCTGCAGCGCCACACCTATTATCATCATTAGGGGAAAAAACGGTGATCCAATCTCCGACCCCCAGGAACAGGTTTCCAGATTTGCTGAGCATTTCTGTGAGGTCCTGGGGGAGGGGAAATCCCTCAGCCAGGAAACATCATGGCACAAAGTGGGGATAACCCTGCTGAGGCTGCGGTGCCTCAAATATTGGAAGAAGTCACCCCCTGTGAGTGGCTGGCTGAGGTGCCATCTGTTGAGGAGGTACTGAAGGCGATCCAGAGTCTGAGACTAGGAAAGGCACCGGGCAGAGATAATCTCCCAAGCGAAATTCTCAGGGAGGGTGGCGTTTGTGCACAGACTGCCCTACCATGACATCATAACAACAGTCTGGACCACTGGACGGGTTCCGCAGGATTGCAAGGATGCCCTGGTGGTCCCCCTCTTTAAGAAGGGGGACCGCACAGACTGTAACAACTACAGGGGCATCTCACTCCTCAGTGTGCCGGGAAAGGTCCTGGCAAGGATTATTCAACATCGTCTTGCTAGGCACGCTGAGGAGAGGCTTGCAGAGCCCCAATGCGGTTTCAGGAAAGGGCGGTCCTGCATGGATGCCATATTTTCGGTCCGTCTTTTACAGCAGAGGTGTAGGGAATTCCTACAAGACCTACATCTCTGCTTTATTGACCTGCTCAAGGCCTCTGACACCATCAGTAGGCCTGGTCTCTTGGTTGTTCTTCGTGCTTTCGGAGTCCCTGACCCTCTGCTCACGATCATTAAGGACCTTCATGATGGTGAGCGGTCCCGGGTAAAATTACGTGGCCAGGAGTCAGAGCCTTTCCCTGTACACCTTGGGGTGCGACAGGGATGTCCTCTGGCTCCCACATTATTTAACATCAATTTTGACCGCGTATTTCGTGAAGCCTTCAATAGCTGTACCTGGGGAATTTCCATTTGGTACAGATATATTGTGGGCGGCTGATCGACGCCCGGGTGCGATCAAGGGATGGCTCTCTATTGGTCAACCACGTTATGTATGCCGATGATTTGGTAATAGCTGCTCATTCAGAAGAGGAGTTGGAGACGCTGCTGCTGAGACTGGAGCGTGCCACTAAGAGGTGGGGCCTTACCATCAGCCCCATCAAAACGAAGCACCTGCCTGCGTATTTTGTACTATCGGACACTCCACCCCCCACAACTTCCAATCGGTGATGGGGCAGTAGTGGAGAGAGTGGAAAGTTTCCCCTACCTGGGCAGTGTGCTTATGACCGGCTCCAGTTTAACAGCAGAGGTCTCACTCCGAATCAGTCGAGCGGCAATATCTTTTCATCAGTTGTGTAACACTGTGTGGAAGCTACCTGGTCTGTCGCTCCGCACGAAGCTTCAGGTCTTCTCGGCCACAGTCATTCCCTCCCTTCTCTACGCTTACGAAACGTGGACCCCCCTAATGGAGCATCTTCGCCGGTTGGAAACATTTAGGCTGGCCTGCCTACGTTTCATTCTGGGTTTAACCAGGCTGGATTGTGTGAGGAGCTCACAAATCCTTGAAAGATCTGGGCAAAGTCCCATCGGTGAGCTCCTCCGGCAGGCAAGGCTGCGTTGGCTGGGTCATGTAGCCCGCATGCCCAGCCACCGCATGCCTAAACAGCTTTTGTTCGGCCGGATTGAGGGGGCTAAACGGTCGCGACACGGGCTAGAGAAGAGATGGAGTGATGTGGTACAGGAGGACGTGGAGCTGAGTGGACTTGCCGATGACTGGTACCAGCGGTGTCAAGATCGGCCTCTGTGGAGGAGGCTCGTGAAGGATGCTACTGGGCAGTTGGAGGCAGTCGCCCTCCAACAACGTAGGGTGGAGGAGCGACGCTCACAACAACGAGCGGAGCGCCGGGTGGCTAAAGCACAGCAAGTTGATACAGTAGGGGGCACAGGTGGTGCATCAGCCAGTCATCTCGGTCATCTCGGTCAGTCGACCCGTGGCACCTGGGTCTGCCCCGTGACCTCCTGCCAGCGGGCGTTCGACACTTCACGTTGCCTCAAGGTGCACATGGCCTGGCACAAGCGTCCTGGTGACGTTACCGCCACTTAGTGGCGAATGGCGGTTGTTGTTGATGTACACTGTGTGTGTGATAGTGTAGTGATGTACACTCGTGTGTGTGATAGTGTAGTGTCGTCACTATGTAGTGATTTACACGACCAACCAGGGTGAAGCCCTTGGCTGTCTGGCTGTCTGATAAACCTATGAATATTCACAAATAATTCTCAAGGTTCCTTTGATTCTGAGAGCTTCACACATTAACACTGAACCCTAAGAATTCTAACTGTGTCTGAATCTGTATCACGCTGCCTCAAGTACTAATTATGAATCCTCAGAATCTCAGCCACAGCGTCTCTGTGTAAAACACTTATAGAGACAGCATAGCAACAGCATCCACATTCAATAATACAAAAGAGGAGTGTTAATAGAGCTCATGTAAAACTCCTTTGCACTCGTGTGTGTGCTGTATATTAATGTAGAGGTATTGCAATACAAGGGCTATCGTAATGTATGTGTATGTATGTGTAGTAAGTTCAAAGAGACTTGGACGACGTAGTCGGAGGCACACTTATTTATTAACCGTTCCACTCTATACAGGCCAAGGTATACAACACTCGAAGGGGTATCGACCCCTTCACCCGTCTAACAGGGAGATCCTACGATCTCTGTCCCGGCTAGCCTACTCCCGGGTCCTCCGCTACAGAGCTAGGGGAGGCTAGCTGATCCAGTTCTGGCCAAGCTGGGATCACGGCACCCTGAGTCACCATACCGGCTCTTATAAGACCTTCGGCTCTGGGCTCTCGGGGCCACGCCACTGGCTTGCCCTGGTCGGTCCTTAGAAGGACGGCGATCCAGGGGAGTCCCAGGGCCTATCTAGCTGGTCTTCCTTCTTCACTGGTTTAAGCTAAACACTGAAACCCGAGCCCACCAGCTCACCGCCTTATGTAGCAATCCCCCCCCGAGGGGTGGGGCCGCCGTGGGAGATCACAGCGCCGTTTCA